TGAGAGTATATATCAGCTGTAGCTCTGTTCTAGTTGTCATCTTCATTCTCTGATCATGGCGGAAAGGAGACAGCAGCCCTCATCTGGGGCATCCCTAGAGCCAGCCTTGCAGTGACTCTTCAAGTTTGTGTTCAGATGCACCGATGTCACATCAGTTTACATCCTCTAAGCTGAAACAAGCCACACGGCCAAAGCCAACATCAGTGGGCTAGGGAACTGTACTCCCATAGAGGAAGCATTGCAAGCCATATGGTAGACAAGCCAGGAAATAACAATCCTCTTTCAGAAAGCGGAAGTAAATCATTTGAGACGATAATTCACCCTACCACAAGTTTGGAAGTGGGTCATGGTCTATAAGAGAGATATAAATTTGAGAATCATTGGCATCCAGGTTGCAGTGGAAGACATGAGAATAAAGTCACAGATGGTATTTTAGACTTGTGAGAAGGGAAATCACAGGAATGAACCATTCTGTACACATGCCTCCATATATACCATTGCACCATTGCTCATAATGTTGCATTATCCAGAATGCCCTATCTGTCACTCTCATACCCAAATTCTGTTCATAACAGCATGGTACACATTAGTGTGATATTTTTTTTACCTCTTCTTTTTTTTAATGTTTATTTATTTATATTTGAGAGAGAGAGAGAGAGGGGGAGTGAGGGTGGGGCAGAGAGAAGGGAGACAGAGAATCCGAAGCAGACTCCTCACTGTCGGTGCAGACCCTGACTCGGGGTTCAAAACTCAGAAATCATCAGATCATGATCTAAGCCAAAGTCAGACGCTTAACTGACTGAGCCACCCAGGCACCCTATTACTCTTCTTAACAACACCCTGACTTCTGTATTGGAGGATTACTTCCCCCTACTGTACAGTGTTGGTAGGTGGTAAGACCAGCTGTGTTTGCTTTTCCATTGTAGAAACTGAGGGGATCTCCAAAGGCTTCTCTGATTATATCTTTCCTTTTACTGTCCTGTATTGTCAAGGGGGTAAGTAAGTACTTTGCATAAACTCAGCCAGTCGGGTACTTCTGAGTGAAAATTCGACTCCTGAATGAATGCCACAAGGCCAAGTGACAGAGCTGTTCATTCAACCCAGTAACAGAATCTGTTCCTACAGTACCCACTTCCTATCCCTCTGCAACAGCTTGGATCTCTACCCATTTTAAACTTCTACTCTCCCAACAAATCTGTGAGCTCTTCTTAACAACAGTATCCTTATGATAAAGTTTATTTTCCTGAAATCATTTGAAGTAGATATACTAGTCAATTTACAGCACTGTAACAAAATACCATAGACTGAGTGGCTTAACTATAGAAATGTATTATCTCACAGTCCTGGAGGTAGAAAGTCCAAGAACGGAGTGCCTGCACTGGCAGGTTCTGGCCAAAGTGCACTTGCTGATGGCCACTGTCTTGCTGTCTCCTCACAGGGAAGGTGGGGAGGTGGGCAGATCTCGCTACTGAAGGACCTGTCCCAGGGTGACTGTCCCTGACAACAAGATACATTCTGATCTGGTACATTCTGAGCTTGCAAACGAACCAGGGTGCTGACCTGACCGAGTAGCAAACACAAGGTCAAGACAGTCTACATGCACGCAGGCGGCTGCCTTCATGCAGAAGGTCACTTGCGGGAGGCAGAGCGGGAACTTGGCAACAGGCCCATGGGAACAGGAAACGGGAGGAGGGGCAATTTGAGACGATAAATAAGGAGCCTAGTTCGACTGGGTGAAGGATTCTGCATCAAACATTGTGTGTGTCTGTGTCTTTCTTGCTTATCACTCCTTGGTTGGAGAGTTAAAGAAAGCAACACTCTACTTCTTATAAGGCCTGAGTCATCTCAGACCCCACCATTATGGCTTCATTTAACCTTAAGTACTTCCTAAAGTCCTTATTTCTTGAGACAGACACATTAGGGGTTAAGCCTGCAAGTGGAAGGTAAACCTTCTAAAAGCAGAAGTACTAGAATAACTGAGAGTGATGCTGTATCATTAGTATTTAAAACAACTTCTGAATCTAACACCCAAAATGAGAGGGGCTGGTGCCTGCGAGATTGGGTTAGTAACGACATTCTTCTTTTGACCTTACCAGGGTATACAGAGGATGCCACCGCTTTTCAGACCACAGGGGTATAAATTGTTTTACTATCCCTCCATGACTGCATATTTGTAAGTGTTCTAGGCACTTCAGAGAGGAAGTAAAAGGGTTCACTTTAGCACCACTTATCAGCTTTTAGGCACTTTGAGATATTAAAACAGAGCAGACAACACTATCTTGGAGGCACACTGCCTGTTTCTCTGTTTTACATTCTTTTTAGTCTTTACCTCTTTTTGAAGTTTAATGTATTCTGCATTTCCTGTGAATATTCTTTTATGATTAATACACGACTTCCAGACATCTAGAAATTCAGGTGCCACATGTTGGGTGAACCTGCCTCATTTCTCCTGTTTCCCCATTCCACATTCCCACTCTAATCCCTCATCCAATGCCCAAAGGCGAAAATAAAATGGAAAAAAAAATGTAAAAAGGGTCATAAAACTTGTGGTTCCCATGACACTTCCTCAGAATACAGACACCAGGGCACCTGGGTGCCTCAATCGGTTGAACTTCTGACTCCTGACCATGATCCCACGATCATGAGATCAGGCTCTGAGCTGGCAGTGCAGAGCCTGCTTGGGATTCTGTCTCTTTCCCTCTCTCTCTCTCTCTGCCCCCTCCCCAGTTCTCTCTCTCTCAGAACAAACAAAAATAAACTCAAAAAAAAGGAATACAGTCACCTTCACTGAAATTCTCTCAATATTCTTGCAAGGAAGGGAAATTCAGTGTTACTGCCACTTGAAAGCAGCAAAAAAGGCTTAGAGTTTATGTATGCGAACTTTTGGTAATGTTTCTCCTAATGCTGCCCATAGACTACTAGGATCAGATTTAACAAGGAGGTGGGGGGACTGGGGGAGCTTGTTCAAAATCCATATTCTGAGTGCTATACAAACTCTGTAAGAATCTCTGAATCTCTGAGAGTAGGGTAAGACATTAATCCTCTGATTTTCATGTACATTAAAGTTAAGACATTATATCCTACTTTTGGACATAGGGTTTGAAGAATAAAGAATAATGAAGACATAGGGTTTCAAGAGGACAAGCAATTTGGCTTGTTCCCCCAGATGTCCCTATCACCTAGAATATTGGCTGACATTTCCCACACACTCCATAATCACTGGTTAATTAAATGAACAGAAAAGAACATGAAGTTGTAGGCTTAAAGTAGGAATAAGTGGAAATAGGAGGAAGCATTAAAACATGCTAGAATCCTGGCTCCAGTGTTCATTGGTGCTTGATCTTAGACAAATACTTAACCTCTTGCTCTTCAAAGTTCTCAAGGAGTCTATAGTAATTGTACTCCTTGCTTAATTTGTCATGAAGAATAAATGAATTTAAAAATATAGAGTGCTTAGAACAATTCTTGTCTAAAACACTGGAAAACTTTGTTAGTTAGCAGCTAACAGCCCAAGTTCAGGCATCTTTTCAGCCAGATCTCTCCCAGGTTTTCTCACTCCTCTAACATTCATATACATATGAACGACTTGGCAAACAACAGAAAGTCTTTCCTTTCCAAAATATCTCTTTCACCACACCACTTGGTCCTTCAGATACGGGTAGAAATTTCCACCATCCAAGTCATTTTCCTAAAGTAGACAGGAAAACAGTGAGCACTTTCTAGTAAAACAAGCACCTGCTACTAAGGATGGATTGGCAATCACAAATTAAGCTCCCCTTTTTCTGTAAACTAGTTTCTCCCTTGAACCCCACCAAAGATGAGGGTATCAGCAGGCAGCCAATGAGTAGATTCCAAAAGTCTACCCAGATATATATAGATATATATATATTTCTTTTTCTTTTCTTTTCCTTCAGAACTTGAGATGCATTCTTTTTAAAACCACTGGGGTTAAAGAGAAAGGGAGTGGAAGAGTAAAGGTGTAGATTTAGAATATGACGCAGGAGTGCCTGTGTGGCACAGTTGGCTAAGCCTGGCCTCAGACTTTTGATTTCAGCTCAGGTCATGATCTCATGGTTTGAGAGTTCGAGCCTGCATCCGTCAGTGCAGAGCCTGCTTGGGATTCTCTCTCTCCCTCTCTCTCTATCCCTGCCCACACACACACAACTCTCTCTCTCAAAATAAGTAAATATACTTTTAAAAAAAGATATCTTGGTCCTTGTTCTAAAAAAATAAAAAATACAAAAACGCCGCAAACACAACATTCTAAATCCTGAGGACGTTCACTTAGTGATGTGTTTTTGTTTTGTTTTCGTTCGATGCAAAGCACTAGACCCCTTCGCGGGATAAGCATTGATCATTAGCAAACCGAGGACAGGGGCGACCACTCCCCTACCAAACGAAGAACAAACCCACCAGACGCGATGTTCTCAAAGCTTCAACTTTTCTGGCCGGATCCCTAGACCCACATAATCTTGGCAGCTTGATGGGGATGGATTTGGAGTGGACACGAAACCCTTTCCACAGGCATTTGATTCACTCAGATAATTAAAACAAAACCCAAACTACCTCCCCCGTCCCTTCACCTGGAGGCGCGAGCTTGCAAAGAAGAGGGCGCCTAGCCGCCCGCGCTTCAGGCGGAAGCCGTGCGAGGGTGTCTTTGCGCCTCTGCCCCGTAGAAAAGCAGAAGGCGGGAACTAGACTACACCGGAGATGTAAGAGGGGGTGGATGAGAAGTACCACAGAAGCGGCAGGGCTGGGGCGGAGGGGAGGTAGGAGAAAGAGGAGCGACTGCCGGGAGGTCGGGCTGGGCGGACCCAGGTGGACGCGCCGGGCGGTGCCGAGCTGCAGGAGGCGGGGTCGGCACCCAGCGGGCCGCGGACGGGGCGGGGCGAAGGGGGCGGGGCGGGGCGAGGAGGGGCGGGGCGGGGCGGGGCGGGGCGGGGCGAGGCGAGCGGCCGGGGAACCACACCCAGAGCCCGCACCGCCCGCGCTTTCCCGAGCTCAGCGGGAGTTTGCCGCGCGAACCGCCGAAACGCCGACAGATGAATGAGCCTCCCACCAGGCTGGGGCCCCGCGGGCCTGCGAATCTCGCGGACGCCCCGCTCAGCCTGGGGCGCGCCGGCTCCTTTCTGCGAGAGATGGGGCGCGCGGCCCCCCCGGCCCCCGGCTCCCGGAGTCCCGCGGCGGCGGGGGCGGGGGCGAGCGGAAGCCGGGGCGGCGCTCCCGAGAATCTCCCGGTAGCGGAGAACCTGGACTGCGAGCCCTGGGTCAAAGAGAAAGTGCTCTTCCTTCTGCACCCGGAGAGATGGTTGGGGACTCAAGGGGACCCTGCGCGGGAAGAAGTGGCCGGTGGGGAGGACCTTTCCCAGGAGGCCGGACACGACCTGGAAGCTGCCCGCCCTTCCTTCTTTCCAGGAAAAGGCATTTTTGGAAGCCCCGTAGACGCCCCCTTCGGAGCCCCGCCGCGGGACCCCGCAGCTCCGCCCAGGTCCGTCCTCGTGCGGATTGTGGACTATCAGGTGACAGAGGAAGTGCTGTGGACCGCGTGGACTCAGGGTCGCATGACCCGGCGCACCGAGGAGCACTCGATGACCGCGGTCACTTTTCGCACCGGCAGGGAGTGAAGCAGGCAGTGGGGCGCCAGCCCCCCGGTCCCACGAGAACCCCGGGCTCTCTCGGCGTGGGGGAGAGGTCACCTCACGGTCCCCGAGGACTGGATTGCCCGAGGATACGAAACAGGAAAGGGGAGCCTGAGGAATGTTGCGGTCAGGAGGATGAGCAATAATCCTTAAGAAAAGAAAAATTCTCTCCCGGGAACGCCAACCCGTAGTTAACCAACGGGAAGACTTTTTAAAAGGCTGGGGCAGCGCTTCGGGGAGGCGGACGACACCCCAAACCGAATGAAGAACAGTGAGCAACGTAATACCTCGTTTGTGCCTTAAATACTGTGACGGCCTGGGGACCTAAGTCGTTGAGAAGAGGGGCAGGAAAGGTATTTTCAGATTGGTAAAATGTGAGCCTTTTGAGATAAGAAAATGTGAGTCTTAAGTGTCATTTTGCAGTACATCTCAGTTGATCTCCTTGCTGCCTCCGAGCCCGCTCTTCAAGCACTAAAATCAGGTGAAATTTGAGGTCTGCTCTCTGCAAAGGGGGTGGGAGTAGATGGGGAGAGAGGCTTTGTTTTAAAGCTCAAAAAGAAAGTAAAAAGAAATGGGAACATTAAAATCAAGCAGCAAGGAAACAATCTTTTCTTTTGTACTTCTGAGGTGCACATATTTCTTTTTTATTTCATTAAGTGTTAGGGACTAAGTTAGGAAAAGAAGAGGGGGGAGAACAGAAGACACAGCTTTGAAGGTAACATACCATTTAAATAGGTTTTACTACTCCAAAGTAGTCTAGTAAAAATACATTTTATCTGGTTTTTATTTATTTTGATGTTTAAAATACGGCAGATAAATCGGGCCTAACGGTGGATAATGTATAGTTTGCCAATACATGATTTGTGTATCTACTCATGTCCTTGGTTCCTTATTAATAACAGTTGTATGCAAGACCGAATTGAAAATACATCTTTCTTGATGTGTTGGAAAAGAAAAAAGTTTTTTCTGGTGCTGTTGAAATAACGCATTTTATTCATGTTTTTTATTAAACTGTGTTTTCATGAACTCTTCAGTAGCGTGGCCTGGTTTGGAGATTGGTGAGAAGCAAAGCATGGCCTCTAGAGATGTACTGCTTGACTTCAGCTCTGCTGAAGGAGTATTTGGTTACTGCAAGAATTAACAGAACAAGTGGAACTCTGGCTTTGAGGAGTAAATTTGAACGGTGCCCCCACTTCATTCCTCTGTCGTCACCCTTTATTTTCAATTCAGAGCTTGAAATGCTCTCAAATATCATCTGATCCACCTCTTGCCTCCTGGCAGACAAGATTAGTGTGATACATCCCTCTTTTGCAGATGAGCCAACCTAGGTGTAGAGGTCATGGAATTGGTTAGGTCACACAGCTTAGTAATTGTGTAAAATTAGTAGGTAAGAATACAGTCTCCCTTCTAAAGGTTTGAGAATAGCCCTTAGAGGGACTTCCTTGTAGGGAGTCAAAAGATGACAGGGCATCCTGAGTTTTCTGACTCATGTTTATGGAAGGTACTAGAATCACCTCGATGTCCCAGAGTCCTACAAGGACTTTTGGCCAGAGGATCAACATTGGCAGTTCTTAGGTTCATGAGAACCACACTTGAGAGAGGGATTCAACACTGACCACATCTTGGTTCAAAGCTGCTTGGTAGGCGGAAAGAGTAATATAAGCTCCACAAAGAGAATTATCCTTTTCTCTTACAACCCTGTCTGGCCCCCATGTGAGGTTAAACTTCTTGGTAGACAATTTTCAGGCCTGAAAATGAGTTTAATGAATTTGGTTGTGAGTCATTACATGCCCCAAGTGATTGAACATTGAATATATAGTCAGCAAGAAAAGCTTCCGTAACACTGACCAAAACGTCATTTCGTTGCCTTCTCTATGGAGGCAAACTCTGAAGTTCAGCTTCTTGGGTTCACAACTGGCTCATTTTTGGTAACTGTGACTTTGGGCAAGTGCTTAATCTCTGTGTGCCTCTGTGTCCTTATTTCTTAAGTAGGAATAATAAATAGCATTCCCCTCATAATAAAGTTTTTTTTTTTTTTTTCTGGGATTAAGTTAAATGAAGAATCCTTAGAATAGTATTTGGCATATTATTATAAATGCTGAGATAGTCTTGTTGTGATTGTTTAGTTCACTTTCATCCCAAGCAAGCATTAGAAGGCATATAACACCAGGAATCCTGTAGAACCCAAACCAGTGATTTTTATGGATTCTTCTGCATTCCTGAAAGGAAAAAAAAAAAAGAAAACACTTATCTCTGGTTTTTCCCAGCATTTAATGGATCAAGTAAATATATCCTTAAATTTCTTAGAAGTGACCTCCACATCTTGCTTCAAAGAGGTCAGGTGCACCATGCTTACAGAGTCTTTGAAGAGGTTTCAACTCTGCTTAGTTCCCCTTGGTAGGAGTTTTGAATACTTTCTTTAGGTGTCAGGTTAGTTTCCCCTCTGGGGTTTTAAATCTGATGCCCTGTTGTCCCAGTAAAGCAGAATAGACAACTCTAAATTTTATCTCTGTCAAAAATGTATTTATTCCCCTCAGCTTAACTCTTTTAGTCCAAGTATGCTTAGGTTAATTTTATCTCAAGTAAAAATTATTGTTATGTTTATTTATTTGTTGAGAGAGAGAGAAAGACCCAGAGAGAGAGACAGGGTGCAAGGGGGGAGGGGCAGTGAGCTAGGGAAACAGGATCTAAAGCAGGCTCCAAGCTCTGAGCTGTCAGCACAGAACCCAGTGTGGGGCTCGAACTCATGAGCTGTGAAATCATGATCCGAGCTGAAATTGGACACTTAACTAACAGCCACCCAGGTGCCTCTAAAGTAAAAATTATTTTTAAAGCACTTAGTAGCTTGTTAGCAAGTTAACTTCTTGTTAACTGCCTGCAGTGCACTTAAGATTTCCTTTAAACCGAGGTCTCCCTGATATGAAATAGTAAATTGAAGTACTTTTGAATTAGCTTCAGAAGTTTTTAATATCCAAACAGAACCCTGTTGAGTGAGGAGCCTGAGAAGTCCTGGAAGTGAATCCAAAGTGAAATTTGAGTGTCCTCAATACTAAGAAATCTCTGAGAAGGGCTGGGTCCTGGCTCTTTGGTCTTACCTCCACCTTGCTGAAAAATGTGATCATCTATAATTGTCTTAGGTGGATGAATCATAGAAAGGGCTTCCAGAAGCCACGTGGCCACTCAAGTGACCATAAGGCAAATACCAAATAAACTCCATCAGGCAAGTGTTGACATGACCTTTGCCACATAATCACCGTTAGGCAAGTGTTGATCTCTCTTAAAACCTTTGTCCACATCTTCTGCCACCTTTGGCTTGCTGCACTTATTCTTGTTACTTATCACCAATACTTTATGTTCCATTTTGCTTATAAAAAGGAGAAAGAAAAATCTTTCTGTTACAAGAAAAAGTTGTATTTGAGGAAATAGTTTGCAGGGAAAAAGAAAATTGGAGTGAAAGGAAACAAAAATTCACCCATGACCCCAAATCTGTTAATATTTGATACGTTTCCAGTCTTGTATTTATTTTATTGTATTTATGTGTATATACATGCCTGTATACATATATTTTTCTTGGCATAAGCAATTATAAAATGTGAGTGGTGTCAATTATAAAAACTAAGACATACTGATACTGTTCAAGGTGAATCAGGAGCATGGGCATCTCTAAGAATGGTTTTTTTGTGTGTTTTTTTTTAGACTTGCGAAATCTCAGGCACCAGTCTAGATCTATTTAATCAGAATTTGTATTCCCACGAAATCACTGGGTGTCTCACATTAAAGTTTGAGCAGCATTGATAGATAGATATAGACACATAGATATGCTGTGTGTAGCGCTCTATCCTACTTTGTCACAAAAACTAAAAAGTTTTCATTTTCTCCCTCTATTCCCCATTAACAATTGTTAATAATGCCACAGAAATAATACTTTGTAGAATTACGAAAGCATATAGAGATTACAAAAGAGTGAGTGAGATATATATTGATTTGTGAATGGGCAAGGAGATCTCTAAAAAATCTGTGATTTTTTTTTTTAAGAGTCATTATTCTAAAGGTTTTCATAATGAAACATTATTAGAGTTCAGAAATGTGGTTCTTTTATTACCTAAGAATGTGAGGCAGTACTTAATGTAAAAACCCCTTAAGGGAAAAAAGGCAGGAAGTCATTAAGGAAAACACAATTTCAACAGTCTGCAGGCTGAGTCAGGACTCCTGTTAATGGAATGCATGGAGGAAGGTGGAGCCTGAATTTGAATCAGCAAGTCAGTGATTCAGATAAGAAAACAAAGGCCGTGACTGTTGAACACCCTGATTTGTTTAGAACTCTAGTGGGTACTTTGCTCTGTAATTAAGGAGGGCAAATCTTTATAACTTCTCCATATGAAGATAAGACACAGTGCAGTTTACTTTGGAAAGAGTAAGAAAGAGTAAGAAGTTATAATACGTTCTTAGGCACTGTGCTGCCAGTAGTGACCAACAGAACGTTAGACTTGCTTCGAGGAGGCTTGGAATTAACTTTAAGTTCAAATTTAGAAATCTATGTGTTAAGATAGAATGAATATTTTGGGGGAGACTTCAGCCTTTGCAAACCTGGACGGACAGAGGTTCTTTATTTGGAGTTCGGTATAGGAAAGAAAAGAGCCAGCATCACTTGGCACTGGGCTGGGAAGCAAAGGCAGGCAGGGCAGCGGGAATGCTTAACAGTAACCAAAGGTGCCCTGAGTGTTACCCTCAGCTTGACTAAACTAGACAGCTTGCTTTCTGACTGTAAGCTTCTGACATCCCTTTTCTTGGAGCATTTTCTTTAGAAAACTTGACATTCTTTCTTTGCATCTTTGGCATGTAAATCTCTCAACCTCATGTCTGTTTTTGCATATGAGGAACATCTTCAAGAATCTGGGAGCCATCTCACAGACACATGAAACGATGCTCAGCATCCCTACTTATCAGGGAAATACAAATCAAAACCACACTGAGATACCACCTCACACCAGTCAGAGTGGCTAAAATGAGCAAATCAAAGAACTCTAGATGCTGGCGAGGATGTGGAGAAACGGGCACCCTCATACACTGTTGGTGGGAATGTAAACTGGTACAGCCCCTCTGGAAAACAGTGTGGAGGTTCCTCAGGAAATAGCAGTAGAACTCCCCTAGGACCCAGCAATAGCACTGCTAGGAATTTACCCAAGGGATACAGAAATGCTGATGCATAGGAGCACATGGACCCCGATGTTCATAGCAGCACTCTCCACAATAGCTAAAACATGGAAAGAGCCTAAGTGTCCATCAACGGATGAATGGATCAAGAAGATGTGGTTTATCTATACCATGGAATACTACATGGCAATGAGAAAGAATGAAATCTGGCCATGTGTAGCAACATGGATGGACCTTGAGGGTGTTATGCTGAGCGAAATAAGTCAGGCAGAGAAGGACAAATATCATATGTTTGCACACATAGGAGGATTAGGAGGAGCTTAACAGAGGACCATGGGGGAGAAGAAGGGGGGAAATGGGGGAGAGGGAGAGAGGCAAATCATGAGAGACTCTTGAATGCTGACAAAACCTGAGGACTGATGGATGTGGGGGGTGGAATGGGCATGGAGGAGGGCACTTGTGGGGATGAGCACTGGGTGTTATATGGAAACCAATTTGACAATAAACTATTTGTAAAAAAAAAATCTGGGAACCATCTCTTGGAAATGTAATAATAATAAAAAAAAGATAGGGCTCCTATCCCAGTGTCTGGGAGAGGGTAAGAACCTACTTTAATAAGTATCAATTAGCAAGCAAGATGGCTTAAGTGAATTGATCCCCCACCCCCAGTGCCCTCCAGTACTTTTCCACTGACCTACCCCAGTGCTTAAAAACTCTCCCGCCTTTTATTTCAGAGTTTAGTTCAACCTCTCTCCTATTACAATAAATTCTTAAATTATAAGTCTTAAATAAATTCTTCCTTGCCTGTTCATTCTGTCTGATATAGTTTTTCTTTGACAGCAGTGAAAACAGGAAGGCTTCACATATGCTCTGACTGGAAACTATTAGCATGGAGAAGCTAGAAGTGGGCAATCTAAAAAAAACTTCTTGTGGAGCACCTTGGTGGCTCAGTTGGTTAAGCGACTGACTTGGTATCGGCTCAGGTTGCAAACTCGCAGTTGTGAGATTAAGCTCTGAGTTTGGCTCCACGCTGAGCCTGGAGCCTGCTTGAGATTCTTTTCTTTCCTCTCTCTACCCCTCCCCTGCTTGTGCTCTCTTTCTCTCTTTCAAAATAAATAAACATTAAAAAAATTATTTATAGAGAAGCTTCTTGTATTTGTATGTTTGGATGAGGGCTTTCTGTCCCGTGCTGGAAGGGTACCAAAAAAAAAAAAAAAAAAAAAAAAGTGGGAAGCTGGCAGTCACTAACCAAGTTCTGATCTTTCTGGGCTATTTGCTTCTGAGGCTGTGGTTTCCCAAGCTATTTGCTCCACAAGTTGTAGGTCAGAATTCTACAGCCAGATAAATAGTATCAATATCCTAGGATTTTTTCTTCCCTAGGAGTAAGTTAAAAATACTTGGAACAACAATAACACTCAATATTAGCTATTATATATTACTATTATTATGTGTTGTTATTACCGTTTAGTTCACTTTTTATCCTAACCCAGGCTTCAGTCTTTTGTAACAGACCAGAATACCTACAACACAAGAAGTCATATCATAACCAAACCAGTGGCTTTTACCAAGATGCTTTTCTCTCTTTTTTTTTCATATATTATCATACATGCCCTGGCCATTGTCCACTTTTATATTCAGTCTCATTAATTTTAGGACAATCTTGAGGACAGAATTAGAAACCAGAAGACCTAGTCACAGAATTCTGGAAGGTCCAGTCACAGAATGCTTTTTTGGAGATAATCCCATTATATCTATTTTTAGAAACATCCAGAGTACAGCATTGCAAGTAGTTTGTTTATGGGGGTGACATATGCTTTGGCATAGTTCAGCCCTGACTGTTGGAACCCAAAATGCTGTATAATGGATTAGTGCCTCGTTTCTGAGGTAAGGGCTGTATAAAGCCTTCCTGGGCATGGAGATTTCCCAGTCGTCACTGAGGTTGTTAGGTGCGTAAGCCTGATCTCAAGGCTGGTTTGTTGGACAACCTGCCCCAGGCGTAAAACCCTGACTGTTAAAAGCTGATTCTATACCCGCTCTATTATCCTTAGCCACATGTCCAACTTCAAAAAAAAAAAAAACAAAAACACCTGATGACTTTGAGGTCATTTTGAAAGCTGACTAGGTTTTTGGAAAAGTGGGTATAATTGAATTCCCAAATTCAACTTACTTGGAAGAAGGGTAGGGGCGTATAATGGACACCAGATAATTTTTATGAAGACAAGACAGCTCTTAGTGAGGGCTTCTGTACACAGTCAATTTCTGTAAAGATTGATTCTCTGATGCCTGGTCTCCATGTCTCAGAAGCCGTGAGAGTACCTGTGGACTTCCCAAACCCACCTCAGTATTAATTAATCCATATAACCCCGAGATTATATGGTTTAGGCCCTGCAGTCCTTTACTTTTTTTTTTTTATTGTAGCATAATTAGTGTACAGTATTACATTAGGTTATGCAATCTTTTCTATCCCAGCATAATTGAGTGGAAAAATATGCAAATGTACAAGTGAAATGATTCTATAATCAAATTTTTGGAATGGAAGGGGGCACCTGATTGGCTCAGTTGGTTAAGCGTCCAACTCTTGATTTTGGCACAGGTTAAGATATCACAGTTTCTGAGTTCAAGCCCTGCATCGGGCTCTGTGCTGACAGTGTGGAGCTTGCTTGGGATTCTTTCTCCCACTCTCTGCCCTCCCCTGCTTGCTCGCTCACTCGCTCTATCTCTCTCAAAATAAAGAAGTAAGCTTAAAAAAATGTGTGAGTGAAACAAAGAAGATTCTGTGACCTGTATTTAATGACATGCCAAGGACTCGGCAATAGTCAGGGTTTGCCCAAGGAGCAACACATAAGCTGTGTGTCATCTTTAGAGATCCTAAAACAGTGATAAAGCTGGTCTAAAAGCCTATCTGCTTTTTATCATCACCAAGCGTTTAGTGATAGAACACCCCTCTCTAAAAAAAATTCTATTGTTGGGGCGCCTGGGTGGCTTAGTCGATGAAGTGTCTGACTTCAGCTCAGGTCATGATCTCATGGTTCGTGGGTGGGTTTGAGCCCTGCATCAGGCTCTGTGCTCACAGCCAGCTCAGAGCCTGGAGTCTGTTTCGGATTCTGTATCTCCCAATCTCTCTGACCCTCCCTTGCTCACTCTGTCTCTCTCTCTCAGAAATAAATAAAACCTTAAAAAAAATTCTATTGTTGATCTAACTTCTAAAAAATTCCCGACTACTGTTTGAATTTGAATAATACAGATGTAACCTTGAAATGAATACATTAAAAGCTTTTTTTCTATTTTTTATGGGGAAGATAATTTAAAGAGCTCTTCAGTGTTGGCTCCCTAATTTCTCTCTCTCTCTCTCTCTCTCTCACACATACATGCAGAATCAACTACATGTGTAGATTTTGAGAGTAGGTTCCTAAGGATTCTGAATCTTTTGAACTCACTAGGAGTGCATGTTTTGTCTCCAACCCCTATATATTCCTGCATTTCAAGATTCAATATAAACATTAACAGCAATTATAGTGGCTAAGAAAATGAACTTGAGTTACTTCAGTTCTGACACTTCATGTGATGCTATGTGTAAAATTTAAAATAAGGAAACAGCAAAAGTAATAGTTTTTGTTTGATAACTGCAAATTTAGTTCATACATAAACTGTTTCACTGAATTTGGATAACATTTGGCATTAAATTTATTTTTTATTCATTATTTTAGAACTAAAGAATGAATCAAGAAAATAAAACATTACATGAATTGTGTGATTAAGTAGTTCTGTTTCTTTTGCACACACTTCAACTTTATTAAAATTTACTTATTAGTTACTTGACAATTATTTACAAAAATTATTATTATATCAGACTAGCCGAAGGATCACAGTTCTTTGTTTTACTTTATAATTATGGCTGAACATTTATTTCTCAGTCTAGTTTTAAAAATTATCCTCTTTTTGATGCTAGATTCAGTAAGTATGCCACTGCCAACATGTGGTCATAAAGTCACAAACATGGAGTACTAAAGCATTGGAATTAAAGCTCAGATTTCCAGATCTCTAATCAAAATTGTGTCTTTTCCCTCTATGAGTGAAAGCAGTCCACAGATTCGTTTCTGTGTCTCCCTCTCTCTCTCTGCCTGCCCACAGCTTGTGCTTTCTCTCTCTCTCTCTCTCTCTCTCTCTCAAAAATAAACATTAAAACATTTTTTTAAGTTGTATTTTCTTCCTTGCCATTTTGACGATGTTCTTGGGCATTCTAGAACAAAGCATTATATAGTTATCCTGCCCAAACCAATTAAAACTATTGATTGCTGATACTTAGATGTCTCCTATGCCTTGGAGGAAAACAGATTTGACTTGATAACTTAGGGCAGGAAGTGAAGGTTCTAGTTGCCAATGTTCTGTCTTAGAGAATGGCAGTAAGGCGATTTCCACTACATTGATTAGCACAGGAACTCAGAACCCTCTGGGATAATGTGGCTGATGATTTAAGTAAAACTGAAGTGATTGGCACAATATCATGGCTGGCAAAATGCAGAAAAGGGAAGTAGGTGTATGGAGAACTAGGGCTGTGTCTTGCATTGTAGAGCCTTGGCTCGGAGCAGAGATCATATCTTGTGAGGTTGAGTGATGAAGCAAATGTCCAGGGTTAGGTCCAGGTCCAGATGGGAGACCCTAGGGGATGGCTGGAAGGTGAACTTCTGCATGAGACTGGTGAAGAACAGGAAAAGCTCCATTTTAGCCAGTGACTCACCAGTGTACATCTGGCGAACCGGAGAGATGGACATAGTGGAGGGTTAAAAGATATATGAGCACAAAAATCCGAAACACAGTCTGGACAAAGACAAAAGCTGGCCGCCTGTGATTTCTCCTACTTTAGAATGTATGAATTAGTTGCTTAACGTCTTCTGAGCCTCATGGACTTTGCCTAAGCCCTGGAAATAGAAAATTAAGTACATATGCTAACAACTGTATGAGCTCCCAAGAGGGAGACAAGCAGCTAAAGAAACATTAACATATAATGTGAAAAATGGTACAGCAGGTAAAGCCAAGTGTGTCATGAGAACAGATAATGAAGGTACCCAATGTGATTTGAAGGGCCAGGGAGAACTCCTCCTTTGTGTGACAGCTTTGTACCTCAGCTCTTATGCAAAGGGTGAGAAGTTGTCAGCCAGGCAAAGATGGGGCAAGATGTGGAAGGGGTCATGAAAATTTTCAGGGCTGAAAAAACTTCAACTCTGACCAGAACAGAGAGTAGGAGTTAGGAAATCTAAGGCCTGAGGCCAAAGGATAAGTAGACAAGGTCATGCTGAAGCATTTTAAGAACAGAGACATGGTTAGTATTACTTTTGGAATATGACTTATTTGGGAAAATGTCAAGGTATCTGAAGAGTGGAATCAGTGAAAATTGAGGAAGGAAGTCTTTCAATAAGTTTTTATTAAGAAAACGAAACAGGAGGCTTAATGTTTGTATATATTTCTTAAGATCTGTTGTGTTGACAATGATGCCTTTTTTCTGGCTCAAATTTAATGAGTTCTGTGGTTATACTGTAGAACAATCATGATGTATTTGATTGAGGTATAGCGTTATTAAGAGTTTTTGCTTCCAGTCCTTCAGAAGACCCAACCAAATCTTTTCGTTCCTGCTTTCAGAGTCTGCAAATCCTAAGTCTGATACTTTGGTTTCCTGCCAGTAAATTGTTGTGGACAGTCCAGCAGATTTCTTTTTTGTGTGTGCATTTATTTTTTTTTTGAGAGAGAGAGAGAATGAGAGACAGAGAGAGAGAGAGGCACAGAATCCGAACCAGGCTCCAGGTTCTGAACTGTTAGCACAGAGCCTGATGTGTGGGGCTCGAACTCACAAGCCATGAGATCATGACCTGAACTGAAGTCAGACACTTAACTGATCCACCCAGGCGCCCCAGCTAGATTTCTTTTGTTGTTGTTTGTTTATTTAATTTGGAAGATAACTCAGATGTGTACTGAGTCACAAAAGACTTCAGAGTTCAGAAAAATATTTAG